TCCCACTGATGCTAACAGGCCCAGAGGTAGCTGCTTTTTTTTTGAGACAGAGTCTCACTTTGCCACCCAGGCTGAGTGCAATGGTGTGATCTTGGCTCACTGCAACCTCCGCCTCCCAGGTTCAAGCAATTCTCTTGCCTCAGCTGGGATTAAAGGTGTGCACAATCACACCGAGCTAATTTTTGTATTTTTAGTAGAGACAGGGTTTCACCATGTTGGCCAGGCTGGTCTCGAACTCCTGACCTCAAGTGATCCGCCCACCTTCACCTCCAAAGTTCTGGGATTATAGGCGTGGGCCACCGTGCCCAGTCAGAGCTACCCTTTTAATTATTCCCTTTTTTTTTTTTTTTGAATTTCAGAGGACTAGCTCATTTCATACACAAGGAGCCCTGGGTGGAGAGCTGGGATTCAAATTCAGGTCCTTCTGGCTCTGAGGTCAAGACTGCACAGTGAGCCCCGGCCTGGGACCTGCCAGCCCCTGCCTTTCTCTTCAGTGGCAAAAGGGCCTAGGTGCTACCTTCCCAAGTCGGGCAGTGGAGGCCCACGAGGGGCCAGCCTTGACCAGGATAACAAGGCAAACGTTTTATATATTTGCGACGTGCCAGGCACAGTTCTGGAGTTGCACTGCCCAATACAGTAGTCACAGCCACACGGGGCTGCTGAGCGCTTCAAAGGTGGCCAATCTGAACTGGCATGTGCCTAAGTGTAAAATACACACTGGATTTTGGAAACGACCTGACAAAAAGTGTGTAAGAGGCTGGGCCCGGTGGCTCACGCCTGTAATCCCAGTACTTTGGAAGGCCGAGATGGGAGGATCACAAGGTCAGGAGATCGAGACCATCCTGGCTAACACGGTGAAACCCCATCTCTACTAAAATACAAAAAAAATTAGGTGGGCGTGGTGGCGGGCACCTGTAGTCCCAGCTACTCAGAGGCTGAGGCAGGAGAATGGCATGAACTCGGGAGGCGGAGCTTGCAGTGAGCTGAGATCGCGCCACTGCACTCTAGCCTAGGCGACAGAGTGAGACTCCATCTCAAAAAAAAAAAAAGCGTGTAAGATACCTCAACAGTTTTTTATACCAATGCATATTGCAGTAATATTTTAGATATACCAGACGAAGTAAAATGTTACTAAATGACACCTGTTTCTTTTTACCTTTTCGACAAAGTCACTGAAACACTTCAAATTATACATCTCTGTATTTCTATGGAACAGTGCTGTTCCTCACTCTCATCCAAGCTCCCTTGATGTCTCTGTAACAGGAAGTGTTGGCCGAGCCCGCACAGCTGGTGAGCTCGTACCTCGGAGAGGATGTCCACCAGGGCCTTCCGGGGCTGCTCCTGCAAGTGGTTTTGGTACTGGGCCAGGGCCTGCAGCAGCTTCACCGACTTCATCAGGGCCTCTTGGTCCTGGTCCCCACAGAAGGACAGAGGGTATGAGCAGGGCACACTACTGTCCCCTACCCATTCCAAGTCAGCCTACATTCCCCCAGTCCCTCCAAAGCTCTTACCTTCACCAGCCGGCCTGACTGAAAGAGGGCAAGTACTCCGAACAGGTTTGCAAAGAGAGCAGGTCTCAGCATTGTCTAGAGAAGGATTCCGGGCACAGGCATGAGGGGCCCTGGGACTCCCCGTTCCCCAAGCCTCCCACCCCTGGGGCTGCTGACGTCCCTGGATCCACTTACCTTCTTCACCTGATGCAGGTCATATTTTTCTTGTATCTGCTGCAAGATGCTGCACAAGGGGAGGTCTTCGAAAGACTGTAACAGCTGCCAGCAGTTGTGTGGCAGGAGGAAGAGGGGTTCAGGAGAGTGGCCCAGCTACATCTTCACAAAGCTTAACCTCCTTTCCCCTTTCAACTTCTCCCAAGAAGCCTCAGGTCCCTAGTCCCACACCAAGGACGCCTCTGGAGCTGCTCACATGGAACCAAGTCTCATCCCCCTGCTCTATCTCCACCAGGGCTTCTGAAAGTACTTTATGAGATGGAGTCTCGCTCTGTTGCCCAGGCTGGAGTGCAGTGGTGCGATCTCGGTTCACTGCAATCTCCACCTCCTGGGTTCAAGCAATTCTCCTGTCTCAGCCTCCTGAGTAGCTGGGATTACAGACACCCACCACTACGCCCAGCTAATTTTTGTTGTTTTCTTTTTTTTTTTTTTGAGATGGAGTGTTGTCCTGTCGCCCAGGCTGGAGTACGGTGGCGTGATCTCGGCTCACTGCAGCCTCTGCCTCCTGGGTTCCAGTGATTCTGCTGCCTCAGCCTCCTGGATAGCTGGGATTACAGGCGCACGCCACCACGTCCAGCTAATTTTTGTATTTGTAGTAGAGACAGGGCTTCACCATGTTGGCCAGGCTGGTCTTGAACTCCTGACCTCAGGTGATCCGCTCACCTCGGCCTCCCAAAGTGCTGAAATTACAGGCATGAGCCACAATGCCCAGCACAAAAGTACCTTCTATAGCCCCTAGATTGTTCGTCTGAAATTCTCAGCCACTGGGTCTATCTCTCCACACCTGGTCTGAGCTCCCCTCAGGCTGATCCTGCAGGCCTGGGTCTTTATTGTTCTTCCCCTTGTCAAGGCTCCTCAGAGAGTGGTCTACTGCAATTAGCTGAATGCCTTTGCAGGCCAAAGGGAGCCCACCCCGCTGCACCGCTCCCAGCAAGTGTACCTAAGAGGCTGGGCAACCCAAGCACCAAATAGAAAACCTGGCCAGGCATTGCTCACCCTTTCTCCACCTTCATGTAAGGAGACCTCCCTCAGGTTGGCCTCCAATCAACTCTGCCACTCCCTACCTCTCTCTCTCAGGCTGCCCCTCCGCCGCAGCTGATACACCACACCTGCCCTCCTCACACCCCACCATTTTGACCTGGATGGCTGGGATCCTGCCAGGAGCACCAGCTCACCTGTGCCAGGGCCAAACTGTAGCAGGGCCGGGCTGTTTCTCGCGAAACCCCGAGTCCGGTGATTAGGCGCTTCAGGGCATATTTCATCTCGGACCCCTGCAGAACCAAGCGACCCTCGTGTTCAATGGTGAAACAAGGTGCACGCCCCCGCGCACCTTGGCATACAGGTTCGCGACCATGTGCCCCCCGTCCCAAATCCCTGGCCCGCCGCCGCTTCCTTGCCGGGATATGCGCGGCCCCTGCCCCAGACCCCGCCACTCCACCTTCGGCCTGCCGCGCAGATACTCCAGCAGCTTCTCCGTGGCCGCAAGTCGCGTCTCCTGCTCAGGCTTCGCAATGTCCCAGAAGAAGTCTAAGAACTCGCGGCTGTGCTTCAATAGGCCATGGCGGTCGGCAGGCCGGGCGCCAGTCTGCGTCGTCTCTCCAGGAGACAGCGGCTTGGCGAGTTCCCTGCTCCCCATCCCCGCCACACTCACCGAAACAGAAAACACGTGTGCCCCGGGCCCAGCAGCTTCCAGGTCAGGGCATGGCGCATGCGCACCGGTAGTGTCGGCGCGGAGGCGGAAGAACCTGGAGGGGCGGGGGAACCAAGAGGGGCGGGGCCACCAAGAGGGGCGGGGCCGGGGCGGATGACCCCCAGGAAGGCGGGGCAGGGGCGGGGCCAGGGAAAGCGGCGTTTACGCCTTAGCTCTGAGCGGAAGTCCCTAGCTGAGCGGCGCGTGGTCATTCCCAGTCTTCTGCTCACACCCGTACTTCCATGGCGGCTGTGGCATCTGCCCCTTTGGAGCATTGCTGAGGGCCCATCTCGGAAACAAACCGAGGTGTAGCACATCGATCCGCCTCGTCCCAGATCGGCCCCTGCGCTCCGAACGTTGAGCCATTCAACAATTACTGGTCTCCTGCTGCGTTCCGTGCTAGGCGGTTGGAACAAAGCCGCTGCTCTCGTGGAGGAACACGGAGCCAAATGCATTAAAAAGGATCATAATTATGAAGAGAATTAGAAATGCAATTCTAATTGCAGAAGCTTTTTAAACGCTGGAACGTGAATACATCACCCGTTAAAAACACGGCTAATTACTATTAAATAGGGTCTACAATAATGATTTGAGGGGTTGGTCAGGGGAGGCCTCTGTGAGGAAGTGGCATTTGGGATGAGAGCTGAGTGACAAGAAGGGCCCCGCTTCCCCGCACTCCTGCAAGGATCTAAGGGGACGAAATCCCAAGCCTTGCGACTTACAAAGGTCCAGGGCTGGAGGGGCTGAGGCTGGCGAGAAGCAAGGTTGCATGGCCCCCGGGCTAGGATTTCATTCTGAGGGTGATGGGAAATCACTGGTGAGTTTAATGCAGGGTCAGGCTTGGATCTGATTTACATTTTAACAAGATGATGCTGGCTGCTGTGTGGGGGATGGACTGTAGGTCTGCGCAGGTGGAAGCACGGGGAGACCATTTAGAAACTGGTGAACTGGACCCAGGGAAAATGAGAACAGGTCAGGTTTGGGCTGATGTGGAGCAGGTGGGGTGGGTGAAGGATTTGGATGTTGGGGAAGAGGAAATGAGGGGGATGCCAGGTTTGGGACCTAAATAACTGGGTGCATTGTGCCATTATGGGGAAGAATTTTCTTGGGAGTGGGAGGTGGAGGTGGTGGGACCAAACGGTCTATTAAATCAGAGAAGCCTTTTACAATGGCAGGGGAGGGGAAGTGCTACTGGTCACCGTTGCTTCTTGGTTTGAGAAGCTGTGTATAGAGGGCTGTGGTCCAGAGAGGACCTAACCCTGGGGGGAGGTCAGGGCTAACCTTCACCTTGAATTTCCACATGCTCAACTCCAACCCCTTTGTACCCAAGCCCCTGGGGCACCTTCTCACCCTCTCAACCGCTTCTCTGCTTTGCTGTCTGTTCTAGAAAGTGAAATGACAACATTCACCTTGCACATCTGGTGCCCCAGGAGGCAGGAGGTGAGCGGAGCAGGGGGAAGCTGAAAGACGTCAACCCAGGCTCTCCCCTCTCTGGTTGTTGGTCACCTGTGCTGCCCGTCAGGGAAGCCCTGACTCCAGTTGCTTCCAAAGCTGATGGAAAATTAACCAAGAAGCAGGAATGGCGCTTGGTTTCTGGGAGACTTGATCTTTATTTTGTACCCAGTCTGGTTGAGGAAGATAGGTAAGGCGTATCCTGAAGGATAGAGATGCCAACAGTACCCTGGGCTCTGCCTGTCCTGCTCTGTGGGGCCCAAAGCCTAGGCAGGGGCTCTGCACTCTCCACTGTCCTCCTGAAAGCTGGATCTGAACTCAGGGCTACCCCCAGGCCCTATTGCTTTTTCCTTATTACCCTGATGTTCTTAGCTGATAAAACAGCTAGAGATTCCATCCAGTGCGGGTGATCTGAAGAATGATTGTGTTAACTCTGGATGCCAGAACTCAAGTCTAGGTAACTGAAAAGGCCAGAGGTTGGGGCCTGAGCCAGCAGTGAGCACATAATAGATACACACTCTTTTTTTTAGACAGAGTTTCGCTCTTGTTGCCCAGGTGGGGTTGCAATGGTGCGATCTCGGCTCACTGCAACCCCCACCTCCCGGATTCAAGTGATTCTGCTGCCTCAGCCTCCCGAGTAGCTGGGATTACAGGTGCACGCCACCTTGCCCAGCTAATTTTTTATATTTTTAGTAAAGACGGGGTTTCACCATGTTGCCCAGGCTGGTCTCGAACTCCTAGCCTCAGGTGATCCACCTGCCTTGGCCTCCCGAAGTGCTGGGATTACAGGTGTGAGCCACTGCACCCAGCTATTATTATTATCATTATTATTATTATTATTATTAAAGACAGGGTCTCACTCTGTTGTCCAGGCTGGAATACAGTGGTGTGACCCTAGCTTTGTGCAGCCTTGAACTCCTGAGCTCAAGCAAGCTTCCTGCCTCAGCCTCCCAAGCAGCTGGGACAACAGGCATGTGCCACTGCCCCTGGCAAATTTTTAAAATTTTAGTACAGACGAGAGTTCTTGCTCTGTTGTTTAGGCTGGTTTCAAACTCCTGGCCTCAAGGTGTCTTCCTGCCTTGTCTACCCAAAGAGCTGAGATTACAGGTGTGAGCCACCACACCCTGCGGGTGCACACTCGACTGCTGCTGGATCTGCTCTGCTCCTGCCCCTGTGCTTCAGATCATTCTGTCTTCTGCCAGACCCACTTCCATCCTGTTAGAACCCCTGGAAGGGGCAGCAGTCATGGGGGACACTGGAGACATGGGCGTGCTCTGCGTGGGCTGCCACCTGGAGCAGGGTCCCTTGGCCACAAGTGCTGGGATGCTGTGTTGGTTCTTGCTGCCCCTGGTGCTGGTGCTGGGCCTGGGTTGGGGGCCCTGCCGCCAGATGCCTGAGTATGGTGTGAGTCATGGCCCTGGCCACATCACGGGTCCCTGAAGCCACAAGCCCCAACACATCGGCCTCTGTGTCATCCAGGCTGCCACGGAGGATGAGGGGGCAGGCCCAGGCACTAGCAGTAGACTTGGCCACCAGGTTGCTGAGCAGAACCCCAGTGCTTGGGGACAGGTGTGCAGAGCCAAAGGAGCAGTTGAGCGAGGAGGTGAGAAGGAGCACAGAGCCGCTGCTGTCCACGGCGGCCAGGGCGCTGCTCCCAGGGCTCACAGCAGTCTGCAGGAATGCTGGGCAGGGGTCAGGGATGGGCGCCCCGGAGTGCAGGGCTGCCTCCAACAGTGCCAGCAGTTCCGGGCCAGCTGAGGGACTAGGGGTGGTGAACAGGATGCCCTGGGGCACAGGTAGCTGCTGTGCTGGTTCCAAAGTGGGCCTGGGTCCAGCTGAGGGCACCTCCAGCCCCAGGTCTCCCGCCAGCAGACTCAGTAGAGCGTCCCCAGCAAGGTCTGAGGTGGGAGCAAGGGCTGCCCTGCGAAGCACAGCTGCCAGTTGTGGGTTAGTGGCTCGGGCCCCAGCGCCCAGGGGCGTCCCATCAGCATGGCAAAGTAGTGGACAGAGGCCTTCTGTGCCCCGGGCCACCAGAGCCCTTGCCAGGGGTGTGTCCACCAGGAAGCCCTCCTGAGCCAGCGTGGTGGGGCCCACTAGCAGGCGTGGCCAGGGCAGGCGGCCAAAGCGTGCGTGCAGTAGGTGCAGGGTGGGCAGAGCCGTGGGCAGCCCCAGGCCGGGGGCCAGGGTCTGTGCTGGGCCTGATGTCAGGGCCGTGGAATTGCCCGAGGAGCTGTTGTGGAAGAGACCCCAAAACAGGGCACCTGCAGGAGACAGACGGGCCACTCAGCAGTCGCAGGTCGAGAGTCACTGACTTATTTCAGTTAAGATCCCTTGACGGAGCCTGGGATCAGAAGTTACTGACCAGGCCTGAGGTCAAGGTTCCACGGACCTGGGCTCAAGGGACATAGCCTGGGGTCGGGACTGCCACCCAAACCCTAGGTCCTGCTCACTAAGCAGCCTTGAGGTCAGGGCTACTGACTCCCTAAGTTCCAGGTCACGGATCAGGCTGTGGGTTGGGGGTGTGGTCTGGGATCAGGGGCCACTGACCTAGGCCTGTGGCATGAGGATGCACCACCGCCAGACACAATGCGGCTCCAACTCCAGCATCCACGACGTTGCCCCCGGCAACAAGCAGCTCTCGGCCTAGGTGGGAGCATGTGGCTGCAGCAAGGAAGGCACTGTCATGCAGCAAGGAGGGGGGGCTGGGCCGGTGACCCCTGACCCTCCCCTCCCCCAAGCTGCCCCCAGCACTGACTGACCTGCAGGGCTGATGATGGCACCGTGGTGGTATACGCCAGGGCCGTGGGAGTGTCCGCCGGCTGGAGGGGCCACAGAGCCCAAGCTTCCTGTCGAGCTGCCCTGATTCTGGAGCTGCCTCACAGCCAGGGAGCAGCCAATAGCCAGGAGCAGCAGGGCTGCCCCTACACGGGCCCAGGTTCCGGGCAGCCCACCAGCCTTGTTCCTGTAGAGGTGGGGGTGTCCTGAGCCAGGACTGGGACAGAGGGATGCCCACGAACCCCAAGAGACCCCAGGGAATGTTTCCCAAAAGGTTTGATTTAACAAGAGGAGGACAAGTCTGCCGAGGAGAAAGGGCTTCTTGGTAGCGGGCACGGCTTGGGCAAAGACATGGAGGTGGGAAAGCTCTGGGGAGACAGGCTAGCTAGGGAGGGATCTTCTGGAGGGGACATTGGAGGGGCAGAGTCCAATCAGGCGGGAGGGAGGCCCAGTGGGGTGTGGCAGGCAGGAGAGAAGGGGCTGGGGAGCAGGCCCAGCCAAGCATAGCCAGGCCCCAACCTGCCTAGCAGGTGCCTCCTGCACCAGGGCTTGGGGGCTGGGGACCTTTGACAGAGCAGCAGATGGGACGGAGGCCGGCTTGGTACAGATGTCCCTCCAGGTGCACAGACTTTTGGTTGGGTCAGGCCAAGTCTGGGGCTACAGCCTAGGTTTTCCCCCAAACCGATTGGACGGTGCCTGGAGCTAAGCCCAGCGGGGAGTTGCCTGGTCCTCCTGAGGGGCTCAGAGAGAGGGACTTGCCAACCTCAAGCCTGGGGAGCCTGGTGCTCAGACCCCTCCCTTACCTACCTGGAAGAGTCCTGGTGCCTCCAGGGGTTTGGAACCAGCATCTCTGATGTCTCCTCCTCCTCCTCTTCCTCCTCCAACTCCAAGCTTGGCTCCCAGGGCAGCAGCTTCTGATAGACCACAGGCTCTGCTGCCAGCTCCATGGCCCCCCAGTGCTCGCCCCAGCCCTCCTGCCTGCCAGCCTTCCTGGCTGTGTCTCAGAGGCCCTGCCCAAGCCTGGCAGGTGGGAGGTGGCAGCGACCTTGGGGAAGGGTGGGGGTGGAATCCAGAACAGGTCTGGGCAGGGCACGGGGCCAAGGAGGCTGCATCTGAGCCTGCCCCATTAGGACACAAGGCCCAAGGAGCTCTCCCGACAGGGCTCCCAGGTGACTGCCTGTAAGGGGTCACAGCTCAGTGAGGTCGACGACGAGCTCAGCCCTAATGCCACAACCTTGACACCCAGGCACCTGCTAGGCTCCTCCCCTTGGGGGATATAGCCCATGGATGCCCCCAGGACTGTAGTTTAGGGACTGTGGACTTGAATTAGAGCTACAGTTACATGGTGGCTTGGGTCAGAGCTCCCACGTGCTTGAGTCAGCACGTGACTAGGTTCTGGCGTAGGGGTGTCCGCTCTCTGGCTGGGGTCAAGGCTCACCCTGTGGCTACTCTGGGTCTGGGTTTCTTTGGGGAGCAACTTGGTTCAAAACTCCCTGTGCGTGTTTTGCGACTTTTGTCCAGAAGGTAGCGCCACAGCCTGGAAATCAACATTTCTAAGTTCATTTTGGGCTTCCTATCAAGGACCTGTTGCAAAACAGTGCTGTTTGTAACGGCCCCAAATTGGAAAGTGCCCAAATGCCCATTATCACTAGAATAAATGATGTAAGTCACAACGGACCACTCTGCAGCAGTGAGAATGAGCAATCTGCAATCATATGCAATAGTATACCCAAGTCTGACAAACATACGGACGAGGGAAAGCAGCCAGGCAGGTGACAGCACGCGCTACATGCTTTCATTTACACAAAGTACACAAACAGGCAACAACAGTCTGCCCTTAGAAGTCAGATAGTGACTGGAGCAGGGACCAGGGGGCTTCTGGGATGCTGGAGATGTCCTTTCTTTCCTTCCTTTCTTTCCTCTCTTTTCCTTCCTTTCTTTCCTTCCCTTTCTTTTCTTCCCTTTCTTTTCTTTCTTTCTTGACAGAATTTTCGTTCTTGTTGCCCAGGCTAGAGTGCAATGGTGCAATCTCAGCTCACTGCAACTTCCACCTACCGGGTTCAAGCAATTCTCCTGCCTCAGCCTCCCAAGTGGCTGGGATTACAGGCACGCGCCACCACGCCTGGCTAATGTTTTGTATTTTTAGTAGAGACATGTTGGCCAGGCTGGTCTTGAACTCTTGACCTCGGGTAATCCACCCGCCTTGGCCTCCCAAAGTACTAGGATTACAGGTGTGAGCCACCACGCCCGGCCAAGATGTTGCTTCTTAATCTGAGTGTTGGTGACACAAGTGCCCTGAGTGTGAAAATGCATCAAGTTGGGCATTGATGACGTGTACTTTTCTATATGAATATTGTCTTTCAATAAAAAAGTAAAAATGAAAAAGCTCACGTATTTTCTACATTCAAACAACAACCATGAAAATCATCCTTCAAATCATCCATCATCCCATCTGGCTCTCCAGCTGCTTCCCTTTCTCACGGCCTCTTCACAAGCAAGTACAGGAGTTCTTTAAGGCTGGTGTGCGTCACGATCACCTGGGCAGCTTGTTAAGTCAGATCGCTGGGCTCCCCTCCCAGAAAGTCTGGCTCCAGCTGTAGGGTCTAGAACGTGCTTTCCTAACTGCCAGTCCTGGAACCACGCCTTCAATCTAAAACAAAAGCGTACACCTGCCGTCTTCACGTCTTTCCCTCCTGTTTCTTCCCTTAGCTGGTTTCTGTCTCTCATTCCCCAGAGAAACCTTTGGTTTCCTTTTTTTTTTTTTTTCTTGGGCCAATAAAAAACCAACCAACCAACCAAATAGAGCAGCCTAGGGTTGCCACCTTCTCATTTTGCCGGTGGTTGGGAGATGGGAATCAAAATGACCATTTTTATGATTTTATGACATTTATGTCATAAAACAATTCAGTTTCACTTTCTGTTAACATAGTGTAAGAAGGTTAGAATTTCAGAATGAAGGTCCGTCCTTCCTTCCCGAGAAAAGGCATCTGGGAGCCTTACGGCTCTGTGCTGCCCCCATCTCCTGCCCCAGCCTCAGTCTGGCCTTTGGACTCCTAGCATTGCTCCTCTCGTCCAGCAGGCAGAATTATTTTCGGCCCCCACCCTGCCCAGCCAACATTCCTCTGCTCTTAGAGCTAGGTCCTCACAAGCTCTTTGGGACAAGACCTCCACTGGTTGGGTTCTGGGAACATTTCCTAGTGTGGCCTTTCTCGTTCCTGCAGCTCTGGACCTATTAGCTAAGCTCCAATTAGATGCAGATGGGTTCTGGGGATAAATGCTCAGGCCAAAGTAGCTCCAGGGGCAGATGGACTCGGTCATTTTAGGGCTCAGGGTAGGGGTGGGGGTTGGCAATGGCTTCAGGAGAACTGGGTCTAGTTCCCTGTCTGCTAATAACTGAATATATGACTGCAGGCGAGACATTTAACCTCTGGGAGTCTTGATTTCACTTCTGTAAAATGAGGATAACAATATTTATCTTCCTAGGGTTGTTTTGAGGATTATACAAAATATATTTAAAGCAGCCAGGCGTGGGGGCTCATACCTGTAATCCCAGCACTTTGGGAGGCCAAGGCAGGTGGACCACGAGGTCAGGAGATTGAGACCATCCTGGCTAACATGTTGAAACCCCGTCTCTACTAAAAATACGAAAATATTAGCTGGGTGTGATGGTGTGCGCCTGTAGTCCCAGCTACTCGGGAGGCTGAAGCAGAAGAATGGCGTGAACCCGGGAGGTGGAGCTTGCAGTTAGCCGAGATGGCGCCACTGCACTCCAGCCTGGGTGACAGAGCGAGAAAAAAAAAAAAAGAAGAAAATATATTTAAAGCATCTAGACCAGTGCTTAGTACAGAGCAGTCCCTCCAAAAGCATGAATTCTTTTCTCTCTGCTCTGTGAGCCTCAGTCTCCCCAGTGATTATTATGCATAATCTACATACGCATGTGTGCGTGCACACACACAAAGGGTGGCTTGAAGTCTGAAGTGTAAGACTGTAGATTCGTTAATTTCTCCATTCATTTCCTCATTTGTCCTCTTATCCTAATAGTTCTCAACCTTAGATACATATTACAATTACCTGGCAAGCTTTGGAAAATTCTAATATCTATTCAGACCAGTTAAATAACGAAATCAGGATCTCTAGATTGTAACTTCATCAGTTTTTGAAGCTTCCCAGGTGTTTTCAATGTGCAGGCAAGGTTGAGAACCACCGCTTTAGCTAGTGATTTCTGCAATTCGAATCACCTGTAGCAATTGGAAAACACCCAAACACCAATGTCCTCGTCCCTCCCTTTCTCCCACTCCCACGACAATTGAATCAGCTTCTCTGAAAGTGAGTCTCAGTCAAGATGATTTTTTTTGTTTGTTTGTTTTGTTTTTTGAGATGGAGTTTTGCTCTTGTTGCCCAGGCTGGAGTGCAATGGCACGATCTCAGCTCATCACAACTTCCGCCTCCCAGGTTCAAGCAATTCTCCTGCCTCAGCCTCCCAAGTAGCTGGGATTACAGGCACCCACCACCACAACCGGCTAATTTTTGTATTTTTAGTAGAGACAGGGTTTCACCATGTTGACCAGGTTGGTCTCAAACTCCTGGCCTCAGATTGATCTCTCTGCCTTGGCCTCCCGAAGTACTGGGATTGCAGGCTTGAGCCACTACACCTGGCCTCTGGCTGCCCCTTCTAACCAAGAAAGGACCCCTGAGATGAGAAACAAGGAAGAGTATGGGCCCCATGTGTGTGTAAGCCTTTCCCCAGGTTGACTTTATAATTGGCCCTCTTGGACATGCTGGGATTTGACTCTATAGAATGGAGACAATGAAGTATGTGTATGTGGCAGGGTTGGGGGTGGGTTCAAGCAATTCTCCTGTCTCAGCCTCTTGAGTAGCTGGGATTACAGGTGCCCGCCACAGCACCCAGCTAATTTTTGCATTTTTAGTAGAGACAGGGTTTTGCCACATTGGCCGGGCTGGTCTTGAACTCCTGACCTCAGGTGACCCACCCACCTCGGCCTCCCAAAGTGCTGGGATTACAGGCGTGAGCCACCATGCCCGGCCCAGATTTTCTAATAGGGAATTATTCCTTGCTACTGTGTGTCGAATCCTGGGGAGAGAAGTTGAGGTCATTAACAGTCCCAGGGTTTGGGGCTGACCTAGAGGAAAATGACCACGAGATGGCAGTAGCATGCAACGAGCTTTACTGGGGCGGCTCTGAGACAGGGTTACCTGTGAGGGGAAGTCCCCCATAGCGGGAGTCCTTTCAAGGATAGTGATGCAGAGCCACCATCCAGAAAGAGGAAAAGACAAGAGAGCTTCTGGGGAGAGGGGTATCAGAGGCGGTTTACATGTCTGGATGAGGAGGGGTGTCTCTGGGTCAAAGAACTGCCAAGGGCAGCCCTGGCTTGGGCTCTGTTATAGCCCCAGGGTTTGTCCTCTCTATGGCCAGCAGATGTGGGGTGCAGTCTGGCAGGGTATATAAAGCAGGCAGGCCCTAAGTGGCTAGAAATACATTTATTTGGGCTATTTAATTAAAAGCAACTGGATGTGTAAAAAACTGAGTTTAGCTCTTGGGGGTTTTTGAGCTAGCAGTCCTGACATGAAGAAGTAAACAACGTAGGGCTCAAGGTTCAGCTCATTTATTTAACAGGGTGAATAACAGTGCCTGCCTCCCCCACTCTCTCCCACTACAGAAGTTGAGGGAGCAGATCCTTCCTCAGTCTTCCCTGCTCGTATAGCCAAGGGCAAATATGGGGCCTAAGCTCAGCCAGTTCGAGAATTGTCTCCAGGTCTTTAAAATTTTATTTATTTATGTATTTATTTTTGAGACAGAGTCTTGCTCTGTTACCCACGCTGGAGTGCAGTGGTGCAATCGTGGCTCACTGCAGCCTTCATCTCCTAGGTTCAAGTGGTCCTCCTGCCTCAGCCTTTTGAGTAGCTGGGATCACAGGTGTGTACCACCAGGCCCAGCTAATGTTTAAATTTTCTGTAGAGATGGGGTCTTGCTATGTTGCCCAGGCTGGTCTCAAACTCCTGGCTTCAAAAGATCCTCCTTCCTTGCCCTTCCAAAGTGTTAA